GTAATATTAATTTTGTGTATGCGACGGCAGTGCGAAGCATGGGGCAGGGGCAGGCAGTGCGGGCGATTAGGGGTAGGCAAACGGAAGGGCATGCCCTTGATAAACCCACAAACCGACAGTGCACAAAACAATGAGCAAGGATTCATAATGGAATTTCGTTGGTAACAACGGCAAACCAAAAATCAAGACGAAACGGAAGCCAAACCCCAGCAGGACCAAGCCAGGACCAAGGCGGGACTAAGGCGGGATCAAGGGCGAGGGCTGGCAAAAGTAACTCAGTTCTAGCAACTTTATTATTGCCCACTGCCCATTGTGTGTGTGTATGTGTGTGTGTAAGATTGTGAGTGTGTAAAATTTGCCACACTAAATTTGTACGAAGCGAAAAGTGTCACCGGGGAATAAAGCTCATCAACGCTGATGGCCATGATTCAGCTCTTAACTAAAATTCAAGAGGAAACCGAACCAAGCAAAGCCGAAAAGGAGTCGACCTCCCCTACCCGAGGCAGTCCGGAGAAGCTCTAGATAAAACTACAAATGGTCTGGGGTATATTAAAAATGTGCTGCAAAAATAAAACGTAATGAAATGAAATGAAGAAATGAAAAACGCATAGCTGAGTAAATCTGTTGGCGCTTTTCCCGTTCGCCTCTGAAAAGGTAATCAAAATAAATGAGCGACATTTTGCCAGCTGATGAACAGGATAGGGAAATGAAGATGTGAGTGCTCAACTTAAGCGGGCGCTGAGGGGTGGCAAAAGACTTCGCTAGAGAAATAACTCGTTTTGGATTTTTGAACAATGAACGTTTAGGGGTCCTACTAACGGCTAAATAACGGAAAAGGGACCATGTACAGGAAACAGGAAGCAGGAAGCGAAACGATGGCAACGATTTCCTCGTCAAATTATGACTTGTTTGTACAGCTGTCGAGATGATTTTCTCTCTCCCTCTCTCTCTCTCTCTCTATGTGTGCGTGTGTGTGTGTGCAGAGAAAACCAGTAATCAGTGGAAAATCTGTTGAATTTCTTAACCAACAGCAGTTGTGGCTGGGCGCAAAAGGTAGACAAATAGAGTATAATGCTAAATAGAAATAGTGAAAGGAACTAGCTCGTAACCTTAGCCTTCCCCAAGCAGGGAATTGAGTGCATATTGCCTGGACTTGTCTGTATTGTAGTAAAAAATCAAACTTTTTAGCATGACTTCTAATATATATATTGCTTATGCAAAACGAGGAATAGTATGCAGAGACTTTTAGACTCGTAATCCTAAAGGCAGCACTCCAAAATAAATAAAATATTTGTAGCTTTATTCATTTTTAACAGCACGGCTTTATCGCTTGCGTTTATAACTTGGCTCATCGACCAAAATCTGTTTGGGGCTTTCGCAAAAAGCACATTTCTAGTTTCTTAAACCCTAAAAAGCATATGTGATACTTTAAGCTGGACTTGTGGCAGCAAGGTCATTCGTTTAAGCCAAACACCCTTCAGTGACATAGTCAATTCCCTGTTGGCAGTTTAGCCTTTAAAGCCACCTTTGAGATGGTGCACAAATGGGGATTTTGCCACTAAAGACCCGTTCGTATCATTGCTTTATCCCTGACATTAGGCCGAACTGGCGGCAAATTCAATTTGCCATTGGTATGCAGCATCCGTTCAGCTTTCAACTACGATTTAGCAACAGTTTTAAAGCCGCCTACCAGTTTTGGCAGCGCACCGCCCATAAATTACCATTTGGCAGCTACAAGGAACGCCTATCTGGCTTCGACTACGGCTCTAACTCCAGCTCCCCTTCGCTGCCCTGCCCTGCCCTGCCTTACCCAGCCCTGCCCTGCTCTGTCCGGCGCATATGGGCAACTGAAAAGCCGCATCGCATCGCATCACTTCAGGGTCTTTATATACTCGTTCACTAAGTATAATGGGTATATTGGCTATACGTCTGCTTATGCGAATGAAGACTAAATTTATGTTGAGTTAGACTAAATTTATGTTGGAATCAGCGAAAATTTAACTCGCGATACTTAAAACCTAATAGAAATAACTAAAAGTAAGCATAAAGCAGCGTCTACCAAGCACAAAAACTCTTAGGTATAAGTAATAACAGTAAAACTCTCAATTTACTAAACAAAATAAGTTTTGAACAAGTTTTGATCTCCAGGAAAATCTTAAAACAACATTTTTTTAATAAATTAAAACTTAAAAAAAAAACATTTATGTACATTTTTTTGTTTTATTACAGTATTTAATCCTTTTTATTTTATATCTTTCTTGGCTATAAATATTTAAATTTATAATACGATTTTCAAGCTCTTCAATAATAAGCTATTCAATAACTGAACAAATTCTGCTTGGTATAAAAGCGAGCTACTCGATATTTATAATTTTCATTTAAGAAATCAAAATATTGTTTCAAGCATAAAATATCTAAGAACTGTGAAGGAGTATTACCCGGTCAGTTGGACCCGATTGCATTATTCTTACTTGTGCTATTTGATTTTCTTTTTCGGGGCGGGGTTGGGGAAGGAGGGTATATGCCGGGCATTATACGCGCAGTTTGCCGCAAGTCGTTTGCTTATCAGTTTTTCCAGCGGGCGTTGTCCTTTCGGACAGCCAACCGATTCGGCGGCAAGAGCTAAGTGAACTGGCATAATGACTACCAGGATGAGAAGGCTGAGCTTCATTGGGGCTAGGATCAGGCTGAGTAAACGACACGTTCTTTGGCCCCTTATCATCGTTTATTGTTTGGCTACATATTTTATTTGGAAGTTGCAGGCGCAACAACTTTCGCTTGCCTTGGCTCGTTATTATCCTATTAGGCTGTGACAGCCGCTCAGAAACTTTTCATTCACACACACACACACACACACGCACATACAGCACGCACACAAAGACGGGCTGAGACAGTGAAATACACCCAGAGCAAGCACACATGTCGTATACATAACGCTTTTTATATACTACTCTCGTCTTAGAGACATTACAAGCTCGTTAAAGTGAAATCGATGTTGTTTTTGTTGCTTTTGCTGCTATTCATTTTGGCTTTGCTTCTGCTCTTGTCCTGTCGAGCGTTCGTCCTGTCGAGCTGTCGAGCTGTCGTCCTGTCGCCCTGTCGCCCTGTTGAGCTGTCGTCGCTTTATTTGGCTATGTCTTTTTATTTCATTATAGGGATTTGGCTGCCTTTTTGCTGTTATCTGCGGCAGTTAATGTCGCACCGGAGGCAACTGACCATGAAAATTGTTAAGCCAAATGCACAATGAAATAAACTATAGATATAATGGCAATTGTAGCGGCAATCTAAGCAGCCACAACTAAGTTACAACTAAGCTCCATTATCAGAGTATAACAACTCGACAATAAACATGACAAACTTGACAAAATTGTAACGAATCCTGCAGCAGGACATTTGCTAACTAATAGCATATTTGATGCTATAATCATTTCTGTTATTTTTAATGCCTCATAAAAGAACTTCTGTTAGGCAAATGAAATATTAATGGGCAAAAAATCTTATTGAGCAATAAATATTAATTAATTATTGACACTAAATGAGAAATTGATGTGATAAATATGCAAAAGTTCGTTATTAATATTTCGATTTTGCCAGAATGCCAATTAATTAACAATTTTGAAAAGTTTTTATTAATTACTTTTTATGGGATTGCTTTTGAACTTTCGACTCGTTTTGAAGCGCAAATTAATGCTAGACGTAAAACAAAATATTACCTTATTTTTGTAAATGTTTATCCACTTTTTTTTGCTATTGAGGCACAATTTCCGAAAGTGTTAATAAATAAAAGCGCCCAAGTTTTCCACATAAACATCACAAGCTCAAAATATTTAAAGGTGCTCTTTGACAATGGGGCTATGCCCAGTTAAGATCATCTTTATTTATACAATATCAGTTTTGTAGCTATTTTATGCAATGACAGCACCTGAGAATTAGTCATACTCCCTGATCTGGGCAATTAGTCACCTGAACAATCTCTGCAAGCACTTGGCATATGCCAAGGAAACATTTAAATATGCATATTCGATTGTATTTCTGCATTTTTACATTAATCCGTCAGGGCGAGGGTGTTGTCATGATTTGCATTTGCATTTTACACACGCCTTGGCCTGGAAATCGGAATGAAGGCAACGATCTTTTAATTCAATATATGTACAATATATAAGTACATATGTATATGCGAATAATTGATCGATCGGTCGTGGAATTGGAATGGAAATTAATGCACGTGACGAGTGCGTGTGATGCACTCAACGCACACCAGAAATTCCTTAGCGGCACCATTTTTGATTGTTGTTGTGTGTATGTGTGTGCGTGTGTGAAAATTTATGGCGTGCTCGAAAATTGTTTGCGACGCATGTTAAAAGTTTGCCAAAAGAATTGCCTATATCCATCTTGTACAAACGTACATACGTGCACACACACACGCACACACACAGACACACACAAACAAACTTACACACTTAATTATGCATGCATATACTAATGTTTTGTTTACCCAAAGCTCATTAGAGCTTTTGACCAAAGAGAGCATAACGACGATACGTTGAGAAGAGCAACAGAAATGGCGAGAGCACAGGTTGCCGGCTAGCCGGTTCGCCGGCTGACCACTTATAATGGGAGCGAAAGAGTGGAAGTGTGAGAGCCTGAATGTTTAAGTGCTGCTGCGCCGCAAACCGGCTGACAGTGGGTGATCAGCTGATGTTTAGCTATGTAAGCTGTGTTGATAATATATCTACTGTATACGGCTCAAATTGACTATTCTCCGTGCACATAGGAAGCTCTCCGTCAAAGCAGGTAGGCAGCAGTTGTTGATATGTTGTCGTAAGAGTCGAAATTTTTGAGCACTAAATTCTAGACGCGCGTCCACTGTGCGCTGCCAGACGATCGTCGCTGTCGTGCGGTGTCGAGCGTCGAGCGTCGAGCAGCGGGCAGCGAGCAGCGAGCTTAAAATTGTATGTCGCAAACTTCAACGGTTTAGTGAGCGAGTGATAGCCAAAAGGGGCACGAGCACGAGAATTTTAGGCCAGTCGGTGTCAGTGTGCGTTGTGATGTGATGTGAGACACAGCAAAGATGCTATAAGATCCACAAAAACGAAAAAGAAAACGAAAAACTAAGTAAATGTAATTCAGCAATTAAAGCCAAAAAAACAACAACAAAAACAAAAGCAGAGTGACGCGAGACGAAAAACAAGCGCGCAAGCAAGAGGTGAAAAAGAAAATAAGGTGTAATTTAGAGTGAGGTGTAAAGTGAATAAACTGCACAGAGCGACAAAGCCAAGCAGCATGTGAAGTCGTGGGGCGCAGCCAGCGAACGTACAAAAGAAACGATATTTATGCTCTGAATGTTGGAGAGCTTACAAAATTTACGTGGCAGGTGTGTAGAGCGTTCCGTTACGTCTAGCGCCGCGCCGCGCCACTTCGCTCAGTGCGCATTCCACAGATTGTGCACATAATCTATATAAGTATGAATGTATTGTGCGATGGCATTTTGCGTCTAAAACATGCCCCAGTCTCTGGGCTTGCCGGAGTAAAGGGTTCCGCACCTTATAATCGGGGGACTCTATGCACATATTATTGACGATTATATAAGCCGCCGCCAATGTTGGGTTTTCTGTTGATTCTAGTGCGCGGGGCCTTGGATAGTTAGACACACACACGCGCACACAGAAAGACGGGGCAGCAACTGTATGCTATATAGATAAGATAGCGCATATCTAATAATATCACAGAAAATGAAATGAGCATAGCACAGCGCATAACGTCACATACTACATACTATATGCGTGTATATTAGACAAGAAAAACAAAAAAAAAGAAGAAAATACGTTCGTCGCAGATTGTTTATATTGTAGAGCTAGGGTTTCCAGTTCCGTTCCATTCCATTCTCCATGTGTGTAGATTCATTAATGGTCGATTCTGTCTTTGACCAATACTATATTTAAACATTATTCACTGGCATTTGCTAAATAATAAACAAATTATAAATAGGTAACTTAATAAATGTACAGTAAACTAGAAACTAAACAAACGCACACACACACACACACACGCGCACAGAGAGACAAATGAAAAACGCACACAAAGCCGAAAGCTTTTTTTTGCTCAGCAGCAGCAGCACAAACACACACACACACATAAACGAGAATATGCTGCATGACGGTGTCTGTGTATTATTTGTAGTTGCTATGCGTGTGTTTGTGTATTTTGTTTACACAAAAATCAAGGTTAAAAGCGCAAAGCGACATGCGTAAAAGGTGGAAGCAAATAAATATATCGCTCAATAAACGAGCAATGATCGAATAATTGTGTATGTCTCTCTGTATGCATGCGTGTGCGTGAGTTGTGTGTGTGTGTGCTTGCGTGTGTATTTGTTTGCGTGCGTATGCTGTGGTCGCATTATCCGAAAGTACCAAAATGAGCCATGGAAGTCTATTAAAGCGTAAAGCGTGAACTAGTTGAGAGGCCTCCTCGACGGCTGTCAAGTAAGCTGAGCCGTGGCTGAAACCAGAGCAAACACAAAACAGAGCAAAAGAAAAAGCAAGAAAAAAAACAACAACAACATCAAGCACATCCCAAGAAAGCAAAGCTTACTCTGAGAGTAAGAGTCGAAGCTTTCATACTCTTTGCCCATAAACTCGGCGCTGATCTGTGAACCTTAACACCCGAAAAATGATGCAGTAAAGGTCGCTGTTAAATTCTAACTGAGACATAAGTTGACATCAATTGGATGTGTCAGTTATAGTTTAAGCGCATATTAAACTGGCGATCCCCAAGTAATCCGATTATATTAATATGATTAATTATATAAATTCAAGATTTGCATTGCCTTCTGCCAATCAACGACTGCTGCTGTAGCTGTTGCTGTTGCTGTCCGGAATTATTTTGGGTACCCTTTTCAAATGATAAATGATCTTGAGTCCGTCTGATAAACAATTATTGCTCAAAATGCAAAAATCATTTTCGTTTTTTTTTTTTTGAATATACACAAAGTTCGTCAGCAAATTATTGCGTACAGTTCTTTCAAGATAAAATCCTTAAAAAAAAATACAATTCGTTAACTTTTATTATGTTCAGTTCTTTTTTTTCCGGTATAAGCTTTAGATAACATACCAACCCTTTTAATCACAGGTCGTGCAATATGTACATATGAATTTGTGCAGAAAATTTTTCCTGGTATTAAAGTCAATTATCTCTGTCTGGGTAACTCTTGAAACGATATTGTCAAATGATTTACTAGATCTATAAACAGAAACTGTTTAAAACTCCTGTCTACTTTTATCTTATTTATATAAAGACCAAGATAAATCCGACGAGTAACCTCATGGTAAACTTGAGCCGTCAGTTTCAGCTGAAGTTTGCATTTTATGCATTGCGCTGCAAACTTAAAACGAAAGCAATTATGCCTTTTTGCAAGTGTATTAAAGGGTCGATCGAAACGGCGGGCCACAGACTAAAGCAAAGGCCCAGAGCATAACCGATGAGACGGCCAGCCCAGCCCAGTCCAGGCCCAGCCCCGGCCAGAGTCAGAGCCAGAGCCAGATCCAGAGCCGGGCTATGTTGGCCCGATTGCAATGCGTGCAAAAGAGATGACGAGCTTAATTTTCTGCGGTAGCTATGGCAACAAGCGAGCCGCAGCAACAGCGCGCGCACACACACACACACACACACATACACGGCCGCCAGCCCGCACCCCCTCGCTCAGCAGCACATTGCTACCCACTAGTCCGCGTTTGCCACCCGCTCGCCTTCCCTTTCAAGTGCTGCTGTTGCTGCTGCTTTTGCTGCTGGCTCATCAAAAAAGCCAAAAGTTGTTGAACGTGAAATTATTGTACGCGAACACGAGTAAATACGCCAGCATACACACACACACTCACATACACAACAATCACTCATATCTGCATAAGTATTTCTGTACACACACACGCACACACTTGCACACGAGGGGAGACCGTCAACTTCGACGTTGCTGCTGTTTTGCATGTGTAGCATCTCAAGATAAATAACAAAACAAAAAAGCAGCAAAACAACAACAACAACTACAGTTAAAAAGCGCAAAACGAAGGCATGAAATAGATGCATCAGATTTCGCATTCAAGTGAAATTTATGGCAATCATAAAGCTCATCTTGCTTTCGAGGTAAAAACTTACACAAAAAAAAAAAAAACAAAAAGCAAAAAGCAACAAAATTACTGCCAAACTCTGTACTATGAGACGCGAGTGCTCAAGCAGGGTGTAGAGGGCACAAGAAGCAGACGCAAGTACTTATCGCAGCCGACTACAAAGCTCCATTATGCTCGCAGATCTCCGTGGTTGTTGCTGTTGTTGTTGTTGTTGTTGTTGTTGATTTTAAGCAGACAAACATAGTGCTCAAGACCCCAGTACGAGCAGAGTGTAGTACGCGGAGCCCAAGCGCTATCAAAGTTTAGTCATCTACACAAATATGTTGAGAGAGCGAGAAAGAGAGTAAAAGACGGGCATAGCAAAAGACAGATTACAGTTTCGCGTACATAACTACACCTGGTACAAACAGAAATATTAGCTGGAAAAAAGAATGAGTAAATATCTACAATAGATAGTTAGATAAAAGAGTATACAAAGCTAAACGTGTATTGTTGCCAAGCAATTGGATAAGAAAGTTGGTAAAGCAGGAGAAAGATTAAAGTTTGAGCAGTGGAGAGAGGGGGAGGGGGAGAGAAAGAGAGAGAGGGAGCATTAGAGTCAAGAGAAAGCACTGTTAGACACATAATTGAACTCCAATAATACCGAATTGTGCTGAAATTTTGGCCACATTATGAAAAGTTTTTCCATTTAAGCAAAAAATATATTCTTCTAGGAAAGTTTCTAAGCTTTTCCCAATTAACACGATCTAATAGACTCCTTTTATAAAAAAACACCAATTTATTTAATATACCTTGCTTTTCTATTTATATTTGAGTTTATATATAGCACTTATATTGTTGCAAGTATTACGTAAATTGCATGTCTAGCAGAACAGAAAATGCATAAACAAACTGCCTCATAAAAGACTTTATTATTCAATATTCCAAAATATAATCGAATTATGACTCTGCCTAGCTGTTTATAGTTCACATTCTTTGCAAATTGAACAGACGGTCATCATACACTCAATTCATGGTGTAAACAAAGCCATTGAATGAGTAATCCATGAATCCCCTTGCAGTCCAATCAATAATGAGGTAGAATTCGAAGAGCCAAATGGGTTGTCCGAGTCAAGTCATCAATATTGTAAATATTTAGAGAGTTGCCTCAAATTGATGCAGCCGGTGCATTGAATTGGAATAATAAAGAACTGAAACTCAATAGACTCAACTTAGACGCACAGACACACACACAAACCAAACCACAAACAATTTATAATGCTATTCTATGGGCTGAAACGTTTTCGTTCCATTCAAAGGCAGTCGGAAGTGTGCAATCGGCGTTGTTGTTGATTAATTAACAATTCGATTAACTGCATGATTGATAGTTTTCAATTGTGTTCACAGTTCTCGTTCTCGTTTCAAGTAAAGGCTTGAGCCACACTTTTAAGGTAACTTGCAGGCTCTCGGGAATAGCTTGCTCTCTTTCGAATGGATACATCAGCTGCGACAGCTTCAAGCGAAAGTGCTTAGAATGCATTCAAAAAATATACGTGACCTTCAAACTAAACTTTAAGGGCAACTTGCACGCTCTTGGGAACAGCTTCCTTTCAGTCCGACAGGTGCGACAGTTGTAAGCGAAAATCCTTCAATCATTTAGGCATTTGATTGATTGTACCAAAAAATGTACGCCAGATTTAAACAAAGCATTTTTTAAGTAGCATACAAGCTCTTGGAAAATGCTTCCTCACTTTCCAAGAGGTATATAAACTGCGACATCTGCACGCGAAAGGCCTTCAATCATTTGATTGAGTGCATTAATCTTGAAACCTAACTTTAAGGATAACTTTCAGGCTTTCGAGAATAACCTTCATATCTCCCTCTCTCTCTCTCTTGTCAATACATTCGTTAATTGCAACTGCATGCGAAAGTGCTTCAATCACATTAGCATGTGATTGAATGCATACGAAGAGAAGCTAGGCCATGGTCAGTCCCGTCATTTGTTCAGGCACAAAGCGAGGTGGAAACAAAACTTTAAAGGTAACTTGACGGCTCTCAAGAATAGCTTTCATCTCGACCTCATCAATGGGCCCATTAGTAGCGGCAACTGCATGTGGAAGTCCTTCAATCATTTCAGCAATTGATTGAATGCATATGAAAAGAAGATACGACGGGGTCCCTTCTGTTCACTGTAAGCTTCATGGAATGCGGCAAAGGCAACAAAATTGATGCGAGCCCCAATCTCAGGGCTGAGTCTCTGTGCAGTAACAACTACCTGAACTCATCCCATGCCGCATGTGGCACGTTTATCAGCTTCTGCTTTACTTTGCTGCCACTCGGGGCCCCAAAAACACTTTTCAGTTTTCGGTTTTTGCGGCGTGTGTTCGAGATACGAGTAAAATGTGTGTTTGTGTGCGTGTGTCCGTGTGTGTGCCCGGTTGCCGGGTTGCTTTCGGGTTGCCTCCGGTCATTAAAACTATTCGCACAAATCCAAAAAAGGTTGCTATTTTTAGCAGTGATACAACAGACCCGTCCGCCGGTCCACTCGTCCGCCTGTGACTTAGTAACGCTTCTCAGTGTGTTTACTGCCTTGTTTTGCACTGCAATTAAATTAAAATAAACAAAACAGCAGCAAACACTTATCTGCGCCATGCCGTACACTAAATACTCTATAATATTTTAGTTGAAATCGGCTCAAAGCTTGATAAGGATGCCTGAAAGCCACACATAAAAATATCTATATGTATATAAAATAATAATAATAATAAATACGTTTAATCTTTATTTGCAATATATTAAGATTTCCTTGTATTTGAATATATTTGAGAAGAATCAAATTTTCAACTATGTTGCAAATATCATTTAAAGAGGAAAAAGCTATCTACTATATTAACTTTTATATGTACTCCAGGTATAAGCCGGCAGTTAGAGATATATTGTCTCAGTATTCTAAAAGTTCTTAAGGAACGGGCACGAACAAAGCTTTACATGTATCGTGACAACCCTATGAAGGAGATTTAACTATAATATAGATGTATATGTGTAGAGTGTGTTCATTAAAAGAGAATAAAACCTCGGCACAATATTTGACAATTCATTTCATATTGCTTCTCCTCTCTTTCAGATGAAATACAACGAAATTCAATTGGTTTTGATTTTGCAATAAAAGCAACAGCAGCAAATATACAGAACAATATATATATAATATATAGCTCTGATAGCATTTGAGAGCAGGCTTCAAGGTTAGATCGATTCTGTTGGATCTGAAACCCTTGAGCAAATTACAGTCTAAAGGCTGGAAAATGTTGAACCCGCACGAGGCCAGGTGCATATACCATATGCTAATAATGTGCCTGCCAATATTTGCCGGGATTCAGCTTAACGTCGCCAGTGCAACGACAGGTAAGTCTGCCAAATATTTGCTTTAATTATGTGTGTACATATATATTTATATACATATATCTCGATCTGTGCAAACATCATTTTTATTGCTCCTATCTGTTCATGATCTTATCAAATTGTATGAGTATCATTGTGTAGATTATAATTGTTTGCACTATGCCAAATAAGAGGCCGTTGTTCAGCTCGAAGAGTCCACAGGCGGTCAGATTAAAAACGCGTTCATTCAACTGCAGGTGGAGTCCATAGAGATGCAGCTGCAATGAATAAACAATGAATATATATATATATATATATATATATATATATATATATATATATATATATATATATATATATATATATATATATATATATTGTATAATGGATTTTCTTATATATTTTCTGGAAATTTCGGAAATTCTTAAGAACATCAACTCAGAATTGAGTACGATTCAGGTCTATCTATCTGTTTCTATAACAAATAATGTCTCAGCTTTTAATCAATCGTGAGTCACTCTATCCATAAAAACCATTAATCAAAAATCAAATGGTAAACTGAAAACTTCTTAATTAACTGGCTCTACTTATACTTATACTCATATTACCCAATGAATTTATAATATATAGCTACTAAAGAAACGTTCGATCTTATATGTAAAGCTTATTAGCTTTTGAAGATATATTCCAACCAAATCTATCTTAACCAGATTCACTGTGTTCCCAATTTAAAAGTTTAACTTTATTAACATCGCTCTACTTTAGCATATACTATATATCTATATAGTTTCGGAGGGAAAATTTTCCATAATAATGCTTAAACAGTTTTATGTCTAGACAGACTATTATGTGATATGATCTATGTCTGCCAGGGTATTTAAATTCTGTCATTCCGCATGTAGCTGTTCTCTCTTGCCCCGCAATACCTACCGTTTGCCTCAGAGCCTTGCTGCAGTCGGCGGGCAACGCCAGGGCGCCTTCTCTCAGAGTGCGACGTGTCGTCCTAAACAGCTGCCGCAGACGATGCGTCTGCACAACGACCAGCGTGAGCTGCACAAACAGGGAAACGGTAAAAATGGTCCCTTGAGGATTCCAGGGGGCGGGTTTGCCAAATTTGCGTAGCCACCAGTGGCTAAAGGTCACAAAGTAGGAGAAAAACGAATGCATTACGAGCTCAATGGACGCAAACACCACAAACGCAAGCAACTGAATGCTATTCAACGAGCAGAGGCGGCTGCTAAGCTGCATCAGCTGGCCATGCAAGCGCCAGAGACGCCACAGCTCCAGGGCCAGCCAATTCTGTTGGGCCTCGTGCAAGCGCCGGCGGCTGGGCAGGCAGCGTGCGAGCAGTGCGTGCTGAATGTTCACGACATCGGCCAGTATCTGGGCCAGCAGGATATTAGAGTGATGTGACAGGTGGCTAATCAGCAGCAGCCCCAGCAGATAGAGTCCCAGGCACACCTGGAGACTCAGCTGGCAGCCGTAGAAGAAGAGCACACTACAGAAATACATTGGGCTGCGATGTGCCATGGGATCGTTCTGAAGTATGAACATTGTGTAGCTGCAGGAGCACACAATGGACAGCGCCAAGACGTATATAGTCAAATGGTCACGCGTGTGCAGCACACGTGCCGCCTTCTGCAGCCTGGTCGTGTGCAGCAGCCCAAATAGCTGGTGGCGATACCAAATCAGCCTATTTACCCACGCGATGATGCGCAGCTGCCTGGTCGTGTGACTGTAAAGCGTGACGAGAGCCGCGCACAGCAACAGCGCGTATCGATGACAGCCCACGATGAGCAGCAGACGATTCTGGCGCAGAAAATCCATCCTGGTGTACACAATGTAGAAGGCGTACGGAGAGTAGCACAATACGAACAGCAGGACTAGATAGCCATACAGACGCCAATAGGTGCTGCACTGCAGCCGTTCCAGGCCGTCCGTCAATCTGGGCGGCCTCGTGGCAGCCATCAGGCCGAGCAGCTGGCTCAGCAGGTGAATAGCACGCAACATGCCACTCGTTAGCAAGTGCAACAACAAGTGGGCGCTGTGCAGCCGCAACATCATACTAAGTGGCACCAGGTTTAAGCAACTACTGAACGGGCCACACACCTGGAGAGGCCGGGCTTTTCAGTTATGCTTTGTCCATAATTGAATCACGATTACCAGACAGACACCCTGTTGTTGTTGTTGTCGGCTGTCTCCGTTGTCTCACAATGTCTATTAGCCTGATTGAATTCCATTTAGCCAAGGCGTTCACTCAACCAGTTAACGCGCCCGACATGAATGCGGCCCCGAAACAAAAGGATTCTATGGAATAACATTAAGGGGTGAAAACCTGAATAATCAAAACCTTGACTAGACCTTGTTATATCAGGGCTAGCACTGAGATAATTAAAGATTAGCTCCGAAACGAAATTATTTATATAAAAACGAACAAAGCGTAAAGGGACTAGGGACAAACCATGGAGTGGGAGAAGTGTCTAAAGAATTATTTATAAATATTTTGGAATGTATTGAAGGAAGTTTTAATGCGAATTTTACATGCTTTATATAGATAATAATGTCTTTGAGGATCGTCCTAGTTTTAACTTATCACAAACAACTTTCTAAGGACTGATCATTGAAATACATTCAATTCCCAAAAGAGGATATGAGAACTGTCAAGGATCGTGGAAAGATCTTATAGAGATGATCTGCCTTAAAATTATAACCAAAGATTTTGCTTTTCAGCTTGTCTCTGTTAATAGAGCTGCTTCATATCGTATATCCAATGTTTTTCCAAAAAGTTGCCTCAAGCTTTGTCGCTTCATCTTCATCTTCAAGATTGGCTCCAGTCAAGATTAGTGTAATCCGACAGCGCTTAGTGCAACTTTTGCTGATTACCTGTCATTGCCACAAATTTTCCATGTGTTCTGGCATTAAGCTAGCAAGCTCTCAGCTGTCTGCAGAGACATGTTTTCAAATCGTGATTCCAATCAGTGTCAAGAGATAAACTAACAATTTAAATTCCTCACACAGTTCGGCTGCAGTGACTTTTGTGGGCGAATTTCCCATAGAGTCTACAAAACGTTGTCGCTCCCCTGCGTTTGTCGATGTCGTCTTTGTCGTTGTCGTTGTATTATTAAAAAAGTTTTTCCTTTAAAGAGTTTTTCCCCCGTTATTCTTTTCCCTTTTCCTTTTCATGCAACATAAAATGCAAAACACTCGAGTTGTATATGTACTTTAGCCTTTACGGTAAACTTTCCACGCTGTTTATAAGTTTAACAGAGGGAAAATATAAAAGAAAAAAATTGTTCAAAAAACTACAAAAAAAAAACAAAAAATTGTCCATGCTGCTGCAACTTTTTGTATGCTTTGTCCTGTTATTGCCACTCTTTCCGCTTGCCACACACGAGTGTGCGGTTTTTATCTTGGTTGTATGACTAGCCCTGCTCCTGCCACAACTTGGAGCTGCCTTGATTGGGATTGGCCTGCCTTGGCTTGGCTTGGCTTGGCCTGCTCCCGGGCTCCTCTGACTGGCTGACTCGCCAACTGTTTAGCTTGTCAGCTGCTTGGCATTGCAGTCTCGCACTCTGAAGGCTAATTCATTCACATTTTACACTATTGCGCTTAGCAGTAGCATTGAAATTTTTCTTGTAGCTTGGTCTGCTTAAAATACCCTGTAAACACGAAAGCGAATCAAGAGGGGGTTTAGCATATTGCGTACAATCAGTGCTTGGCCTTTATATATATTTCGTTTCTACCAGTTCAATCTGTGTAAGGCGTTAACTAACTGATAGACTTTATACATACAGAGTCTATTTAGAAGCTGAACATTTCGGCAATTCGATCAGCAAATAATACAAAGAAAAGACATATATTATATATTTTTCAATTGGATAACAAACACTGAATAGGAGCTATTTTGGAGAGTCTTGGACCTAACCCACATTTTGGCAAACAATCTTCTATCCTTTATCATTAAAAAAATATTGAAAAATATCATAATCTTGCCCTTGACTTAAGTGTGAGATGCTTGTAGAAAGAATGAGCTTCTTCAATAAAGTAAATTATAAATATTCTTTAAAGTTCTGCATATAGGGTATTTGTGAGTTATTCGAATTGCCTAAAGTGTGTGTTAAACCTAAGTACATGGTCTCTGCCTCTCGCTCTGTCAAGCACTGCCTTTTGTTACATATATATATATATATAGTATATACATATATGTATATTATATATACATATACATATATGTATATACTTCTAAACCCCAATCCCCCCACCCCTCTGTTGCGACCCGCCGCCCTGGCGCTACACTTCAAAGTCAAATTGCGCACTCAATACAAAATGTGAGCGGGAAACAAGTGTCCCAACTGTCTAAGCTGCCCCGCTGATAAGAGCCGACGACAGAGACCGACAAAATCTAAAAAGAATAAAAAAATAAAAAAAAAATTAGGAGAAAAAACAAACTTTAATTAAATAAAGTGTAAGAAGTTTGTTGAAGGGCCTTCAAAGCTGGCAGCGTGACGCGACAGGGCGGGTGATTAGGTGGTTCAGGGGCATTGCATGCTGAGGACCTCAGACACGCGGCACCAAGCAGAGTGCGTAAGGGGGAAGGAGGAGCGGGCGGTTGCTGGCCAGTGGAGCTGGAGTTCATAATTTGTGCAAGCTGCGAGATTCTCGTATTCCTTCACGAGCAAATCATGTCGATTTATATAAGAGAGATTTACTTAGGAATTGGGCAAAAAAGTAAAAGGACAAAGTTCATTGTTATTTATCCCCCAAAAATGCTGCGGAAAACAAAGAGGGAATACGAAAAATTAAAATAAAATATAAAAGTAAAAAGAAATTCCCATTATATGGGCGAGTGAAAATGACAAATTAACTTGGAGCTCAAAGGAAGCCGCAAAGTTTCGCAGCTGCCAAACCCAATTGGCAAACAAAAGTGCGGCTGAGTGTAAAGGTAAATTCGAGACTTTAGTGAAAGGTTGCCAACACGAATACGACAGCACGCACACACACACACACACACACAGAGAGAGAGACACACTCGCAAACACTCACACACACAGACACCGCAGAAATTGTCGATTCAATTAGAGATAATGCGACACGAAGAAAGCTGCGAGTTTCTCGTTAATTTTTAATTATATATGCACACTGAATTTGCAGACTAGTGTAAAATAAAATAAAAAGATGTTAATAGAACTGGTTACGTTTCATTTTGTGCATATAGACGGTCTGTGGGTGATGAACCCTAATTAGGGTACTCTTGGGTCCTTGGTTTAACTGAAGTTTGATAATTTCCTTAAAGTCAAAATTTGTGTATGCATATATATATATGGCAATTCCTTGGAGACTAGAAAATTCGCCTTCCTATGAAAGTCTTAACATATAATTAATAAGAAGGTGTTTCAAGAAGGCGTTTCGGGAAATTCTCTGGAAACGCTTGTTTGAAGGCAGGCTAATATGTTTAAATTATAATTATATTTATATTTCCATTAATCCAAAAAGGTCAAAAAAGAAAAATGGGAATGGTAAATGAGGGGTAACATCTGTTTGCATAAAATCAATGCTCATTTGCATCTATGCTTGCATTTAAGTAAACATTTGTTTGTTTCGATAAAAATGGGCGTAAGCTTAATTAGCTAAAAAAGATAGACCTGCTGCATATGTATGCTTAAATAAAACCCGATTAGAGGCCAATACAAATATTAATTCTGGCTTCCAGATTGAACCCTTTATATTATGTTGAATTCTTAAAACATTTTGAACGCAACAAATGTCTAAGGCAACAAATTACATTAAATATTTGGAAACCCCTAATGTCATACACTCAACGACACTCACATACATCCATCTATATTATCATTTATATTTTGTAAATACTATACAAATTTGGAACCGCAAAGCTACATTTACATAAATTTCATCTTATCCTCGATGTCATACACTCAGCTACACATATATCCATTCCATCACCTATATCAACACCTATATCATCAACTATATCATCAACTACACCATCATCTACGTTATCTATCCATGAATGATTCAGTGATTGTGAATACTGTTAATATTTGGAGCCCTCTTGATGTCATACTTTATTTAAATCTAGTCCATCTTTTTCATAATTTACAACATCCCCCTTACTGTCATACTCTCCTATGTCATCATCTATAACACGGTAAAAACTCAGCTACACTTCTAACCATTATCTTTGTGAATACTGTACAAACTTGGAACCCCTCTCAGCTAAACTTACATCCATTCCATCTGTGCCAACATCTATAACATCCATTCTTTGTAAATGCTGTAAAAATTTGGAACCTCATCGATGTCATACTGCCATCTATATTTCCATCCATTTCATCATGTACACCATCCATTCATTGTGAATACGTGATTTTGTCGACTGCTGCTAAAAATGTTCTCTCAATTTTTGTGCCGTTTTTTTGTCAAACAGAATTGGACTTGGCACCCATTCCTCAGCTATGCGATCCGATACCATGTCCGGCTGATGCGGACATGCAGTGCCCGGAGGACAGTGCCATACGAGAGATGAGTGAGATAAATGCTGTGGATCTGTTCGGCTCGAATGCGGTGGGCAGCGCCAGTCCAGCAATTGCAACCACGGAGAAGTCTTTTTTCAACAGCAGCCTGGTGCCGGACGAGCTCTTTGCCCAGTGCTGTCTGTCCAAGAAGTGCGTGTGCAAGACGTGCTACATTCCCGACTGCAACAGCGAGGAGGGTGAGGTTGTGGTCGAGCTGCAGCCGGAGGCGATGAACACGCCTGGCCAGTGTTGCGGCAAGTATGAGTGCAAAAGGGAGCCCAACTGCACCGAGGTATGGGACACCGATTATTATTGGTTGCAGAGCTGCCAGCGCTGTTTGTGCACATCCGGCGCGCGGATTTGTCAGCAGAGCTGCGACGAGGGCACCAATGCCATATGCGAATCAAAGAACCTGAACACGTTCTTCAAGGACGGCGAAAATTGGGAGGATGGCTGCTATCAGTGTGAGTGCGTCAAGGGCGAGCAGAAATGCGTAATACCTTTCTGCGGTCATGTCAACTGTCCCCGCGAACGTCAGGTTATTCTAAAGGACAGCTGCTGCCCGGTCTGCTGGCCCAAGGGTGAACCCATGCCGCACGAGAAGCCGCGCAACTACGATGATGGCTATGGCTACGACAGCGAGGAGCAGCAGGTGCAACAGCATCAGCAGCATCTAGAAACCCAAACCGAGCTGCTCATTGCCCCACCTGCCGCCGTCACCACAACAACTACATCTGCAACCACCACCAGCACCACTCAACGTGTTGAACCGATCGACTTTGCCAGCAGCAGCCCCGCTGCTGCCCCACAGCCACCGCCCTGCCAGATGCATGATTTTCCCAAGGTTGTGGAGGTCGTACATCAGAATAATATCACAGCACATCTTTATCCCATTATAGTGATTTTTCTGTTCGTTATCATTGCTGCCCTGCTCTGGTACATCAGGCGCCTGCATGCCAAACAGCGCTCCTACAGGCCCGTCTCCAACTTTGACGATAAGGTCTAGACTAGACTCTTGCGAAAAAAAAAAAACAAAAACAAAAGATGGCTAGATAGAAGAAAAACAAATTACATAAAGGGGAAAAGAATCAAAAAAAAGTTAAAACTCTTTGAGAAAACAAGCAAAACTTTAACTTTATTATTATTTTTTTTTTTATTTTTACTTCTATTTTTTTTTGTTTTGGTATCTAAAAGATCTCATTTTAATTTCACCTTCACTTCCAAGCAGACATCCGCAGACGCAAAAGTAAAGTATTCTTATGAAATTACGCGCAAAGAAAAGTTACTATAATCAGCAACGAAAAAAAAAAAAAGAAAAGAAACGAAGAAAAAACAAAAATACAAGAGTTTTCCAGGAAAAACAAAAGTTCAAGACGAAGAACATGTTGTATATACATCTAAGGATGGATAGTATTAAGCACACCAATGTTTTATTATTATAATGCACAAACTAAAATGCCAAAACATATTTCAACGAAAAACAAAAAACAGAAGAAAAAATTAATCATATATGATGAAAGCGGTATGCAAAAGATGGGTTAGGTTCGCCTGACCGCAAAATGGGTCACAATATTATTAAAAGCCGAGTACGAGTTGGCCAACGTTTGTAAACTAGAGGAATTAAGTTAGCAGCTAAGCTAGAATATCTATGTGATATTTGTTAATAAGTGTATGTTATAAACAAATGCTATAAACAAAACAAACAAACTGAAAACAACTGGCGCGCTTTCAAAAGTATTGCAAATGGATCAATTAATCAATTAATATTAATCAGCTGCTGATCGTTGCCGTTAATCTAGTACTATACCATTTAATTATTATCTAAAGTCTAAATAAACAATTCGAATAAGCAAACGCGAATAATGCCAATCAAAATGCGTTTTCCTATTACATCGCGCCATCGTCAAGTTAACCATCTGAATCATTTTATGACCACTTTGGGGGGGTCATTGATACGTGCAAATTAAACGTATTTGCGTTTTCGGCTTGAAGTACGCAGAGTAAACAACCAGAAATTACATTAATCAATCAATGCGAACAGTACAAACAATAATTAGCATCAAGTGTGTGCAATCAGCATGCAAAATGTGGGTGCTCCTTCACACATTTATATATATATATGTATATATAAATGTGGGGGCGTATTATTACGTTGCATTATTTTATATATGCCCAAATTATTCCATATGTAATCGAATTTTATACATATTGACACAATATAATTATTCAGCATTTTAGGTAGCTCGTTATGTTATTATTAATATTATGAGAGTGTGGGCTAAAGTTCAGGGCTGCAAACTAATTGATTCTGTTACGGTTCACAGTTCGAACCAACAACCTGCCTTGAAGTGCGTTTCATTAACCTGGATTCGTTAAAAGCTCTAGTTTCTCATTTTTCCAAAATTAGTTTCCAAAACTTTAATGAAACACTTTAGGTTTTTATTTACTGTTGCCCGTTGCACTAAAAATATTGCAAGCGCTGAATATGTTCATACGCAAGTTGCGGGCTAAATTTGATCACTATCCAAAATTAGCATTTTCCAACTATGCCAAGATACTACTAGACTGCGAGAACTGCAACTCTTTTTAATCTCTTTATTTAAAGAGTGTTAGGGAAAACAAAATAACAATTCGAATCTTATTTTTTGTTGTTCTATGAAATTTTGAACTCAGCCTTAAATTATTATTCATATAATTTCACCTCTCTAAAGTATATTCATCATTTATATAATATATTCTATAATATAAACGCTATATGACAGGCTTTTTAATGCTATAGATATTTAAGGTGAATTAAATGTGTCGAAAATCGGTCTCGTTGATTCGTGTGACGTCACGCACACATCCATCTCGAACTTTGAACATTCGTGACACGTGAGGGGGAAGTCAAGGTCGCAAATGTTTTAAGTTGAAAATTTCCCTAGATGCCGCTGCTGGAGGAGGTCCTTGACGATTATGGGAAATTGTATGGCTGAGCATAATGTGATGGCATCATATGATTTATAATATATAATAATTTCTATGCATTGGCATTGAGGCTCCTAAAAGTTAAAGTGGGCAGCGGGGCGGGACTACAGCAAATGCGAAATATCAAATACAAAATACATAAAGGTGCCACGGGAAATCGAGGGTTGCGTGGGCGAAAAACACCTTTACGCACACTGAGACAAACACACACACACAGAGAGCACATCTGGGGCTCTTCAAGATGGAGAGCCCAACAATGCCGTACATTTTGCTTAGATTGTTATCAAAGCCCAAAATGTCATGAATAAAACACATATATGTTAGTATATTTATATATAAATATATATGCACGAATGGCACATTCCTCCGCCTCTCCCTCCCCACCCCACCCTCCCCTCATTGACTAGCATAGTGATTTACAAACGTTTCGACTAGGTGCCGTGTCCCAGAGCCCGACAATAAAGGCACACCTAATAAAAATGGTGCTTCCGGTTATACAGGGGGGGGGGGGGGGGGGGGGGGGGGGTGTGCCTTTGGTCGGGGTGTGGGAGGTGTTCAGATAGGCGTAAGGACCAATCGCTACAATTTTTGTGAAAGCCAGGCAAATACTTGCATTGTTACAAAGGTTACACGTGTTACGTCTAACGATTGCAGAGCCTCAAAGCGCAAACGTTTTGTTCGGATAAGCAATGGCAAACATCTCAGGGAAATAGCTCCGAGAAAGTGCCCGGAGTGATGTTGGCACTAGGAGGAGGCTAGGGGCACGAGGCACCCAGCCGGGCAGGCCCAGAGTAACAATACTGAACAATAACAAAGGCATAACACAACACAATAGACTTCAAGAGCTCGGATGACACTTTGAGTTATTTTGTTGATGCTGTAAAAACACGAGCGGGCCAAAAGATATGCGATGGTAGATTTATTGCGGCTGCAGATAGAAACTCTTACACAACACGACCTGAAGAAGAACAAGAGAGGACAAAAAAAGGTGGAAAAACGACTGCCCAAAGCAGCGTTTGATAAGGGCAAACAGCACCCCTTCAAGAGAGTGTCCACTGCTAAACTTTGCTTTAATAAAATACGAGTGTGTATACAACAAGTAGGAGTGCATCAATTTCCAATGCTGCACTAGGAAATACCCTTTCCTCGGACCTAAAGTATCTTTATCAAGGATTAATTGCCCACCGAACGGAAGGTTTATAGAAGTTGCATAAATTTTGTGAAAAATTGATAAAAAATGTTTGCAACTTTATTAAATACTGCCCTACTACGCGATTCTCACAAACTCAATTAAGTCTTGAATTGTGCAACACTGAAGGAGGCGGTAGATTCAGCGCTGGATGTATAGAGGAGGATAAGGAAGAGTAGCGGAAACGGGAGGTTACATTAATGGCTTTGGAGGATGCGACAACAACAATGTTCAAGGTGCCCATGGAGGCAACTGGGGCAGCTATGCTTATAAGTGCTTTATTAACACGTATGCAAGAGTGTACGTATGTGTGCATGCATGTATGTATGTATACAAGTATGTATGTGTGCATTCCCTTTGTAACTGGAGACTAAATTTACTTCATATGCTGCTCGGAAAAACATAAAAGAAACCTATTATTATATAATACTACTTGCTTCTCATGAATTCAAGGAAACCCTGCACTTTTTCCTGGCTTAATTATAAGTGTTATTTGGTGTTGAAAATCTAACAAACTATCGTTTTGTGTGGCCGTATGTATACATGACTGTGTGCATATATTTGTGTGCATGTATGCATGTATGCATGTATGCACATATGCGTGCACGCAAGTAAATGTGTTTGTATTTGTACATATGTAAGCATGCATATAAATGTGTTAGTATGTATTCATATGTATTCATGCATGTTTTCTTTTAGCAAACGCAGGCCAATTATACTTCCCGCTGCGTTGTAACTTTAAACATGTAATTTTAAATATTGCCCTACTCTGCGATTCTCATGAATCTAACTAACTACCACAGGCTTCAACAGTGCAGAAGAAGGAAGCAGAGGAGTAGCAGGAGTAGAAAAGTAGCAGAAAAAACGGAGCACCACGAGGAGGAGTCTGAACAGAAGTGGGATGAGAGAGTGACTTTGATGGAGGTGGTGACAATTTTGAAGTTAGCAACGAAGGAAACTGGGGCAGATTTGCTTAACGCATAAGCATTAACATGTACATGCATATATGTGCATGCATGCATGCATGTATACATGTATACATGTATGTTCCCTTGTGCCAAGTATTAGCGCATGCTGCAAATTTAAAAAAATAACGAACTAACTAACTAACTTTGCCTTTACCTAACTTAAGCCTTAAGTATATATTCATAGACTAGAATATACATAGACTTTGCCTTTACCTAGCTTATGCCTTAAGTATATATTCATAGACTAGTCTGATTACCTGCCGTAAACTAAAAGCTATCTTGCGAGCTTCTGTGAACTTTTTGGTAAGTACATGTTTATTATTAAATTGAAATATAAGTAGATATTAATCATATATAATGATCCTTGTGAACAACTTAGCTACTATTAGGCCGTATAGCCCACTTGTGGAAATGAAGGAGTATACAAGTTATTGATGCTCCAAGAAATTTATGTAAAGGACTCTCAGAATCAACAGAGTCTACGACAACAGCAAACTGTTGAAAGCCTGTTGATAAAAAAAAGCAAAGGAGCCCAAGGAGCAAAAAGTGAAAAGTAGTAGCTGCTGGAGCCATTCAAATTGCCGAAGCAATTAAATTCATGTCTCAAGACGTGGAGGCAAAAATGAAAAGCAAACATTTCAGGACCCACAATGGAATCACGGCACAGATCTTAAAGCAAAGAAATATTGTTGAATTGCATTAAAAAAAGGGAGTTTGTGCTGAATGCCAAACGGAGAAATATTATACAAGGCTGGGATTATGTTTGTTAGAGAAAACAAAAATTGTATTGAAAGGCAATAAATCATCAAAGACGGCAATCTATTTATTGATGGCCACAAATGACTGTGCGCTATCTACACATGCAGATTTAGAAATATATATTAATATATACATATATATATATATATATATATATAGATATATGCAGGCAAAGGAAAAGCCG